TTTTTCAATAAGGGCAACAATTAATGATTATTTTGCTAATCCATCAATCTGTTGATTATTATTCTGATTAATAATTAGATAGCCAAATGTTCCTTAAAGAAGACTTTTCACAAAAGTAAACCAAGGGGAGCTAAATCTTCTCCACTTCAGGAGTTATGGATAGAGCATATTTACAGATGAAAATTTTTTTTTTATCTTTTGTAAAATCTTGGTATAATTACTGCTCTGAGTGGGTTTCTGTCACCTAAAGGCATTTTTTAAAGTCTCTACGCTCCAATTAACAATTCAGTTTATTTCAATAATCGATCAATCACGACTAATTGTTTCAGCCCAACTTTTTATTATTATTTAATTCGAAAGATTTGAAAGTCGTGGGCACATGGAAGGTTGTTATTCAACTTTTCTTCTAAAGCACACAGAGAGGGCATACTTCAAACGTCTCCTTAAGGTGAAATGAATGAAGTGTTTCAGGACTGTATGTTCTCTGATTTGTAAATCCAAATACAGTCACCTCATTACATGTAGTCTCTAGTACCAGAAATTACAGCGTCATCATATTCGCAGGCTACTGTAGCTTGCTGATCTTTACTGTTCTGAAAATCAGCAGAGACATTTTTTTTCTTACAGCCAGTAGAGTGCATTATGGAGCCATAGTATAGATAAAGTTATCAGCACTGCTGTGCACAGGATTGGGTAGACGTTTCTATGGAAACCAGATCTACGATTAAAACCATGAAGTTTATTAGAAGAGGATTTTTTAAGGCAGTAGATCTGAGCAGGATTAAGAACCTGTACACCATTCCAGGATGCCATATCTTTACACATAGGGTAGAAAAGCGAAGCTCCTCTGCGATAATCTCAGCAGTAAAATGGTTTGCTCTTGTAATTCTTACCACAGGAAGTAAAAGTTGTCACGATCAAAGTTCTGTATTCCTCGTGTCATGTGATATTGGCAGGAAATGTTAGAAGTGAAGAGGTGTTTTCGATCATGCTAAGTCTACAGCATAAATGGTTTGTAATTATGAGAACTCACATAGACTTCCTTAAGGCAGTTAAGCTGCAAGTTGATCACAGAGAGATAATGGAACAGCCTGTAACCTTAAACACTATGACCTGTGTGAGAGAATACTCACCACCTGTCCTTTCCCTGAAGTCTTGTCCATTTGTCCTGGGGAGGTAGATGTGTCCACTGGATCCAGTGACAATGTTAGACCCTTGGCATGAGTCTGATTGTATCTACTCACCAACCAACATGCAAAGAAATGCACAGAATATGCTGTGCAGTGTCAAACAGTAATGAAGAGGCAAGTGCACACGCATGAGGAAGTGCTGCTGATGAAATGCGCGGTTGGTGGACTTCACTCTGATGCTGGGATTTCCTCTTTTAATGTTAAACCAAAACACAGTGTCGTTGCATGGGCGTGTTGTGAGAAAGCATTGTGAGGAGCAAACCTGTTCAGCAGCTTCTCAATCGGGTTTGGCCAAAAAGTTTAATAATAAACAATATTGCTTATTCAGTTTGAAGTTTCTTTGTTTCCACTGAAACAAGTCTGGGGAGGGACGGTGCAACCTTTCAGAGGAACCATTCAGTTTATGCCGCCAGGTGAGCCAGCTTGGAACATCAGACAGGTATGATGATGCTACAAAGGTCTGTGGTTTTCTGTTTCATGACAGAAAAAGTGAAGTTGATCCTCCCTTCAGTGGACATTAACAGAACCAAATGCAGAAGCGGGCTGTGAGAAACAAAACACACACACCCTACAGAATATGATTACTTCTACTATTTATCAGCCTATTTTATTTTATTTATACAAAGTTTAACTTACAGCGAAACACTGTGGTTAATCAACCTGAAACCAGTTTAAAACGCTCTGCTTGATATTCACAATAGTCCTTTGTGTTTAACGCCACTAATACTGGGAGCACATCTTCTTTCAGTTTGGTTTATGCATTTATTAAATGAGCTTTCATGTTTGGTGATTTTCTTTCAGACCTTTAATTCATTCATTGTTTTTTATTTTTGCATCTATGGCTTGTCTTTCAGCTTAACCCCTTCTAATGGGTCCACAGAGTTTAAAGATTCTTGATTTAACTCATTTTTTTCCAAAGCTTTGC